TATATACACCACATCTTCTTTATCCATTCATCTGTCGATGGACATCTTGGCTCTTTCCACAGTTTGGCTATTGTGGACATTGCTGCTATAAACATCGGGGTGCATGTACCCTTTCGGATCCCTACTTTTGTATCTTTGTGGTAAATACCCAGTAGTGGAATTGCTGGATCGTATGGTAGCTCTATTTTCAACTTTTTGAGGAACCTCCATACTGTTTTCCAGAGTGATTGCACCAGCTTGCATTCCCACCAACAGTGTAGGAGGTTTCCCCTTTCATTGCATCCCCGCCATCTGTCGTTTCCTGACTTGTTAATTTTAGTCATTCTGACTGGTGTGAGGTGGTATCTCACTGAGGTTTTCATTTGGATTTCCCTGATGCCGAGCGATGTTGAGCACTTTTTCATGTGTCTGTTGGCCATTTGGATGTCTTCTTTTGTTCCAACATTCTTTGTTGAAAAGACTGTCCTTTCCTCCATTGAATTACTTTGGTGTTATTGTAGAATGTGAATTGACCATGCACTTGTGGACCTTCTTTTCTGTTCCACTGATATCTGTTCATACCAGTATCACATTGTCTTGATTATTGTAGTAGGCTTGAAATGAGTGTGTTTGTTCCTACTTTGTTCTTCATTTTCAACATAATTTTGACTATCCTAGATTGTTTGCATTTTCATATAACTTTTATAGTGAACTTTCCCATTTCCACACACATACACTCTGGCCTGCCTGGATTTTGATTGAGATTGCTTTGACTCTATAGATCTATTTAAGGAAAACTGACATCTTAACAATATGGAGTCTTTTGATCATTGAGCACAAATTATCTCTCCATTTACTGATATATTTTTATTTTCTTTCAGCAGTGTTTTGTGGCTTCATATGTTTAGGTCTTATGCATATTTTATTTAATTCACCACTATTTCATGGTTTTTGAACTCACTGAAAATGGTATTTCAAATTTTTAATTCTCTGTTGTTTGTTGCTATTAGTTTTGTCATTTGTTTGACTGCAATTTTACCCTCTCATTTCCAAAATATTGGGGGAAATGCTAGTATTAGTTTAAAAACCATAATTGCTTCTTTTTTTTCCTTCTCATAATTGCTCATTGAAAGAAGTGACCAATAAGCTGATTTTTGGAGTGAGGTGGGATAGGGATAAATACAGCATGTGGACAGTAAACATATAAAGGCATTGTGTATTTTGTTTTACAAGCAAATACTTTATCTAGCCTAAACTATGTAATTTGTTACATGTCTTATTCATAGTGTGTTATTTCTAGTAAAAATTTCAAAAAATTCTGCAAGAAAGCATTTCATAACGTTTTCTTTATTTTCTGGTTAGGAAATACTTACAGCACAACTGGCAGAGAAAGATGAGAACCTTCAGAAGTGGCGAGAAGAACGGGATCAACTGGTTGCAGCTTTAGAAATACAGCTGAAGGAACTGATCTCCAGTAATATACAGAAAGATAATGAAATTGAACAATTAAAAAAGATCACATTGGAGCCTCCTGAAACAGTGAGTAGAATCTTGTTCTTTCAATGCCTTTTTTTTATTGAACACAGGAATTTTTCAAAATTATTTAATTGATTAACGCTTAGAGGATAAAAAGGTTAAGTTTCAATAGGTCACAGGGGAATCAGAGTTTGAAAAATTATTTGGGTAGTTATTGTGTATTTCAGATTTTCAGAGTTTTATCATTATGATTGATTTGCCAGTGACCAACTGAGAAATAGTACTTTCTCAAATATTTTGGTCATATTTTTTAGGTAGAGTAATTAGAAAAACAATTTGTGATTTAGTCCCTCATCTACCTTTCAAATGTGGAAATGTGATTCAACGTGAACTCTTGGTAATATTTAAATACTTGGGCCCACCCTAAGTTTACTATATAAAGGTATGAATTGTTTTGAAAATGAACTGTTTTGAAAATGATTCTGAGTCATTCAGAAGTTACTTTTGTAATATTACATTGGGGTTGGGAACCCTGCATGGAGAGAGGATTGCATTTCACAGATAGCTACTTCCTGGTATAATTGAATCAGGGTACATCTGAAGCTAGTCTTTCCAGAATAAATGATCTATGCTTAAAAATCTGCTGCCTCCAGACAATAGGAAAATAAATGTATGTGCCTGTCTGTCACAACAAAAGACTTCATGATTCTGAAAGAGGAAGACTGCTAAAAAAAAAGAGGTAGTAGCATGTGGTATAAATAGCACAGACTAGAAACTTAGAAAAACTAGGTGTCTATTGCTGTCACTGTGGTTTTGGGTTCTTTGGGAAAATTACTTATTATATCTGCACTTCTCTAAAACAGAGATAGTAATGTCTTCCTAATAGAGATGTGAAAATTAATTGAGAACATTTGTAAAACAATTAGCACAGTTTTTACCACAGTGGAAGTCAATACATGCTAGTTGCTTTCCACATTGTGGAGTCAGTGGAACCTTTTTTATTTGGGTAGGTGACTTAAGAGATCTATTTGACTTCTGCTTTTGATGGCAGTCGTGAGAAGGCCCATGGTGGAACTTATCAAGTTTAAAAATATAATCTGACACTTCTTTATAGATCCCTTAAATAGGGTATAGGAATAGAACATACCCTATGACTGAGAAAAAGGGATGAGGTATGCAGCAAGAAAAGGTTTAGTTATCAGTATGGTCTTTTCTACTCTGATACTGGAGTTGCATTCTCAAGAGTCCTCTAGTTTTTCAGAATGGTGTTATCAAAGCAGCTCTTGGGGTTCCAACACTTCAGCTTAGTACAGACCTTGGCCATGTGATTTTACATCTCTAGGTTTTGGTTTCCTCATCTAGAAAGTAGGAATAATGATTCTTGCCAAATCTAGCTGAGAGAGTTGCAATGAAAGTAAAATGAGAGAATACATGTAAAGCCTTGAAAATTGAAAGTAATCTTTTAGATTTCTCTTTCGATCAGGCCCAGAGGTTAGCAAGTTGCCCAGCCTTTCCTAAGTTTCTGAGGATGAAAGAGAGGAGGAAGTCTTTCATTACTTCCATGATATAATCCACCCAAATCTTGATTTTCTATTCTTTAGGTGAAGTATTTTAATATATTTTTGGCTACAATGGCTTGTTTTAATATTTCTTAGGAAGAACAAAATGTGGATATCAAGCCTACACATATGAGTTCAATGGATCCTGGCAGAGTTGAAACGGAACCTCAATCAACAAGTTTTGAAACTTCTAGAAATGAAGTAGAGGTGGGCATTTGGTAACACAGTCCAATTCTTTACCCTCTTTACCAGTGACCATTAATTAATAAATAACATTTGCAAGTTAAATTTAATCAATTTTTTTTAAGTACCTTGCTGTGCAGTTAGCTATATGTGCTCTTGGCTGTGGGAGGGAAAACCTAAAGGGTTTTGAGAAGTGAAATTCTTTTGGAAGATGAGATCCCCAAACAATATTAATCTCCTCTCAAAATTATACTTACTGCAAACAACAGATCTGTTAATATAAACAAACTTGGTGGTCAGAAATAGGAAATCCTACAAAAGATAAAATATGGGTGAATATTAGCCTGCATAAGAGGTCCTTTTAATAAGCATTCTATTCCGTAGTGTGTGTTTTTTTTTTAATTGTACCCATTTAATAACTTTGTCACCAAATTACCATATACCATATACCTACCTATACAGTAATTCACAGTGAGTTTTCTTAATCTGTAGTGGGCTTCGGGTTCTTTGGATAATAGAGTCTTAGATAACATATGAAGTAGGTAAAAATCTTATGTCACTTAAAGTTTTGAAGACAAAATTCCTTTTTTGCATTTATTTTTTAAACATGTTTATTGGGAGTTTTTAGTGTTGGTTGGGAACATTGCCAAACACTGAGAGCACAAACATAAGGCATGATTACCATCCTCAAGGAGTAAAGAATCTAGTAAGACAGATACCTAAATGACTACTTGTTTGACTTTATCTTACGGGCTAAGAGTCATGAAGAGAGTGCTAAGAAGGAACATTGCCTGCAGGCAGGATATGATGCCTGAGTGGTTGTAGATGTAGATTAGAGAAGGTAACATCATATTGGGTCTTGAAGGTGAATAGACTTTTACCAAGCCGTGAATGGGAAGAGAAAGGCATTTTAATCTGGGGAAATAGCACGAGCCATTTCTTTTCTCTTGCCCTTTCTTTGATAGTTTTTGGTGGAATTTCAGATAATTAGCATTGGCCTTAGAGACTAGGACAGATCATATCCTTTGAAGAAAAGTTTGGAGTTGATTGATAAATAAGATTAATCTTGATTGCAAAGGCAGTTATATATGGAACATTTCTTTATAAATGTATATGTAAATTTATGTATGTTTATATAAATACATACATGTATATATAAATTTATGTCCTAAAACCTCCTGATTCCAATTCTTATTAAGGATTCCAGCAGTTACTGTATATTCTGTAGTTTTGGGGAATGGTTTTGTTATGCTATTTTGTATGTTTTTCTTGCCTTCATGAAATCAGTATGCTCTTTTGGGCTTAAAGTCTAAAATGATTCATTCATGTAGCTGATAGTTGATTCTGGGAACTCAGCTGGACCTATATGTGGCCTCTCCCTGTGGCTTGGGCTTCTCCCAGCACAGTGGCTGCATTCTGAAATGAGGCATTTTGAGGGGGGAGTGTCCTGAAAGTAACTTTTCAAAGAGGACAGGGTGGAAGTTACAGCCTTCTTATGATCGAGCCTCAGAACAATGATGTTATTTCCACCACATCCTGTTGGCCTTGGAAGTCGTTAAGGACAGCCCAGATTAAAGGAAGGGGAATGAGACTCCATTTCTCAATTTTAAGCCAACTTTAATCTACCTTTACTAGGGTGCTTATTAAAAATCCTAGACTCTTTCCTAGGAGATTTCTGATTTAGTAGGTTTGTGGTAGGGTCCAAGAATCCTTTAAACAAATTGTCTGAATTATTCTTATGATCATACAAGTTTGGGAAATACTGATCTCTATTTCCTTGGATTTTAACATATCATGTAAAAACCTGGAGAGGGTAGATGGTAACTCCATCTTCCTGTCCTTGCTGTGGTTAATTTGACCCAGCACACTTTTAATCTTTTCCAATTCATTGTCTCTGATAGGTGTTTGAAAGATTTAATGCTTTGCAATTCATAAATTCATATTCTACAAATAAGATTCGTTTTTCTTTTTAATTCTGTTGTAGGATGGCTCTGTAGTCCTTGACTCTTGTGAAGTGTCAACAGAAAATAATCAAACCACTCGATTTCCAAAACCTGAGTTAGAGATTCAATTTACACCTTTACGGCCAAACAAAATGGCAGTGAAACACCCTGGTTGCACTTTACCTGTGACGGTTAAGATTTCCAAGGCCCGGAAGAGGAAGAGTAATGAAATGGAGGAGGTAAGTACTTAACTATAATGAGTGAATTTAACAAGCAAACCTTAAGCTTAGTTATTATACATAATTAAACTTCTATACTGCCCTCTTGTTCATAAGCACTGCTATTGGAGACCAAAATCATAATATGTGCCCTGTTTTATACTCCTTAAGAATATTATTGTAGTCTAATAGTCCTTAAACAAAAAGCTTAGGGTTATTAAAACTTAGCCCTTGTTTCATTGAAGCTGTGACAGGTCAAGCTATAGTGGATTTCACTGGCAAGCTAGTTCAGTATACCAGTGCTGTTCAAACTTAGTGACTTTCCCTCCAGTGAAGAGGAAAGGGTTGATAAAGAAATTAGAGAAACCAAATGGCTAACTTGCTTGAGTATAATCTTTGTTATTTAACTAAAATCTTAGCTCTCGGGGCGCCTGGGTGGCTAAGTCATTAAGTGTCTGCCTTCAGCTCAGGTCGTGATCCCAGGGTCCTGGGATCGAGCCCCACATCGGGCTCCCTGCTCGGCGGGAAGCCTGCTTCTCCCTCTCCCACTCCCCCTGCTTGTGTTCCCTCTCTCTCGCTGTCTCTCTCTCGTCAAAAAAATAAATAAATAAAAATCTTAGCTCTCTATGGTTATAGTAGGTTTTGGAAGAGAGATTTTTTCTGTCAGCTGGTATATTAAAATTTGGGCCTCTATTTAGTGGTAGGATACAAACTCTTTACTACTTCCTACTGTAGCTTTCTGATTGTAGAGTTACCAAACCTTCTGCCATATCCTAGCCAAGCAGGTTATAAACTTTCTCATTCTGTTTTCTCCTTTTGGAAATAAAGGATTAGAGATAATAGGTTTAATTAAAATGCTTAGCTTTTTTTCCACATGTGGTGGATACATAATAAATGCTAGTATTTATTTTAAAAAGTAACTTGTTTTAAATTTAAAACTAATTATAAACTCTCTAGCACAATAACTTTTTCTTCAATTTTTTTTTTTTTTTTTTACCTCTTTAAAGAGTAGTATATTTTCAAGCTGGTGGAAGAGCAGAAATAGTATTAACCATACTCCTGAGGCTCTCTGTCAGGTAATAAATTTGCTGAATGAGTATTATTTAGCATCTTTCCTGCTACACCTAGAATACCTTTAGTGATTGTTTTATAGAGCCTTAATTTTTATTCAATATTTATTTTATATTTAATAAATTTTAGATAACACTAACATAGTATTTTAATTTCATTATGATCTATGTTGACTTTTCCATGATTCATTCTTTCAAGAGAAAAGGAAAAATTGTTTGTGTACTCAGAGGGTTAAAAAGCAATTATTTTATTCATTTTACTTGTTGGTATATACTCCCCATGTGTTTTTCAGAATAGATATACAGACTGGTATAGATAAATCATGTAGAAACTTAAGGTTTTTTTCTGATTTTACTAGCTCTTCACTGCTCTAATAAACTGAGTGTTGTAAGGTCCTCATGAAAACCACTTCTATAGTGCTATATATTCTAATCCAGTGAAGACTCCAGAGAACTCTTTATTGCACACTGCAAGTATGATGGAGTTACTACTCTTCATTTGTTTTCCATTGATTACCATCTGTCTTTCCCCTTTGAGGAAGTCTACTTCTTTTTACCCTTATGACTTCTGCTTTGTAACTTGAATTCTGAGGTTCAGGCATGATCTTTTCTTTGTTTTTTTCTTGCCTTTTTTTTTCCTTTTATGCTTATAATCTTTGGTACAACTAGGATTTCTATGAGTTTGATTCAGTTAGTATACTACGAGAGACTTTGTCCTAAGAGAAGTTATGTGGGAGAAAGAAAAGTAATATGTCATGCCTATTTAGTAGGGAAGATAGATTATATTTCTTGATTTTAGCATTTTGCCTGTGCTTATACTGAAGATTTTTACTTGTTCTTGTTCTGCTTTGTTTTTGATGCTGCCAAATTTCACTTAGAGTTCTTAAACATAGATACTCTGCATGTTTTAGGAGTTGGGGAAAGAGTAGATGTATTGCTATATTTTAGAAATGGGGTTCAAATAAAAGATGTTATCCCTTCTGCTATTTCCTATTTAGCTTATGTAACTTCATTATTTATGATGTGTGTGAAAAATTCATACCTTCAGTCATGTTGCAATATATGTGTGTATTAAATCGTCACATTGTACATCTTAAACTTACCTGTGTTTTATGTCAATAGTACCTCAATAAAGTTGGGAGAAAAAGTCATACCTTCAGTCAGGGTTTCTCAACTTCAGCATGACTTACATTTGGGTTTATATACCTCTGTTTTGGAAGGCTCTCCTATGCATTTAGAAGGGTGTTTAGGAGCCTCTACCGCTAGTTGCCAGTAAACACCTTCCTCCCCCAGCAATGACAACCCAAAATATCTCCAGACATTGTCAATATCTCCTGGGGTCAAAATCAACCCTAGTTAAAAGCCATCATTTTTTTTTTTTTTTGAGCCTAGAGAAAGAAAATATTGTTAAGAAACTAACCAGTGCTGAAATTCATTAATTTTAGGACTTGGTGAAATGTGAAAATAAGAAGAACGCTACACCCAAACCTAATTTGAAGTCTCCTGTTTCTGAGCATAGAAATTCTTCTGTCAAAAAGGAACAAAAGGTTTGTCTTTTAATGTGTTCAGAATTGACCATTTTCTTAACTTACATTTATAAATTAGAATATAGAAATAAAGATGTCAAAGTTGATCAGTAATTACGCAGAAATCCAGTTTTGTCCGATTATAACTCATTTATCTTCCATTTCTTATTCATCTAATTCAGCTTAGAATATAATCTTTAGCACTGGGCCAGCAGCAGGCCCCTCGATACTTCTGAGTCAGTCTGTCACACCCATTTTGCCATTCTTTGGTTCTTTCATCCTCTCCTCATATACTTAATCCCAAGTTCCCTGCCTGCAAATTTGTGACCTGTGTCTGGGCTCTTTAATTCAGCTGTGGTTACAACTATTTCATTCTAACTTTTTCATCGACAGTAACAAAAAATGTTTGTTTTTTAGGTTTCCACACGTCCATCATCTAAGAAAACATACTCTTTACGTAGTCAGGCATCCACAGTTAGTACAAATGTGGCCACTAAGAAAAAAGAAGGAACATTACAGAAATTTGGAGACTTCTTACAACATTCTCCAACAATTCTTCAATCAAAAGGTTTGCAGAAAACTAAATGACCTTTTATGTTAGGTGTTTTCTAATATCTGATTAGTGTGTAAATTCAACAACCGTGATTATCATAGTTCTAATAGACATTGTTCTATGTCGGGTACCGTGGGAGGGTGCATGAGAGGATGCCATGCTTAAGATTTTCACCAGAGTGGAGGAAAAACAACCATATGTAAGTACAGTTGACCCTTGAACAACATGGGTTTGAACTGCACAGGTCCACGTTTTTGTGGATGTTTTTTGTTTTCTTTTGTTTTTAGAGGTGGGGGCAGAGGGAGAGGGAGAATCCCAAGCAGGCTCCATGTCCAGGGTGGAGCCCGACAGGGGGCTTAATCTCACAACCCTGAGATCATGACCTGAGCCAAAATCAAGATTCAGAGGCCTGACTGACTGAGCTACCCAGGCGCCCCGTGGATGTTTTTTGATAAGTAGTCACTGTAAATGTATTTTTTCTCACTTATGATTTTCTTAATAACATTTGGTTTTCTCTAGTTTATTATTAGAATTCAATATATAATACATACAAAATGTGTGTTAATCAGTAAGAGTTGTTATCAACAGTAGATATTAGTAGTTAAGTTTTTGGAGGGTCAAAAGTTGTACTCAGATTTTTGACATTATGGGGATGTCAGCACCCCAAAGCTCTGTGTTGTTCAAGGATCAAATTAATTCATCCAGGGCAGCCTGCTTAATGTAGTTACAGAGTTCCAGGCAAAGTGCTATGATAGTATTGGAGGGAAGAGAGCTATTTTGATTCAGACGCTAAGGGAAAATTTTATTTTTTTGAAGAGATGGGATTAACTTGGGTATTGAAATGTTGGCAGGATTACACCCTCTAGAGGTAATCATTATATTATGGTATATATTCTTATAGTATTTTTTTTCTATGCATTGACAAACATTACCCATTCATGTATATCAAAAATATGTATTTCTATAAATATCTATTGGGTTTAGTTGCTTCATGCTTTTTTCTTTATAATGTAACATTAACCATATTAATTATCTGTATATAAAAACATACTAAGATATATATTTTCTCTGTACACATGCCTAAACACAAACATATATTTATATGTACACACACACACACACGCACTCACACACTCCTACTGGAGGGAACTGTTTTAACACAGGCAGAGTACCAGCAGAGTGTAGGGCATATGCAGGGGCTTTGGGGTAATAGTATACATCTGGCATGGATAGTGTGGAGAGAGCATTGGGGGTAAGGGGCAGGTGGTGGAGTGGATTTTCAGGAGATTGCCTCAGTGGTGGCTGTGGGATAAATTAGAGACTAGAGGTGAGGAGAATGGGGAAGGAAAGGAACTAAAGCAGGGGACAGTTGAAGTGTAAAAACAGTTTGTATAAAAACTTACCACAGAGGTCCCCAAACTTTCTTGGTTCACAGTGCCCTTAATGTCTCAGTGATTTTTTTTTCATTGTTCCCCTACACCTAATATTTTATCCATTAGTGCTAAGGGCGAACAACCACTGAAAATACAGCTTCTGAAAATCAGGGTTGCAAAGATATGTCATCATCAAAAGGAATGTGATGTGTTATCATTTGAAACTATGAACTACCTTAAGCTATTGTGTGTTGCTGTTTTCTTTGAATATTTAAAATATTTCGAGGTGCTCTTGTGAGTTTGCTGTAGTATGTCTTAGTGCACAGCTTGGGAACTTCAGACTTATCAGACCCCATTTGTATATATTTTTCAAAAAAATATGTACTTTTTTAAAAAGTATAATTAGTATACGCATAGAAGATATCTGGAGGGACACATAGCAAACTGTTAAATGTCTAAATGTAGAGAGGCAGGACTTGTTATTTTAGATTCTTAAGTATTTTATTTAAATTATATTGATTAGCTCTTACATAGCAAAAGAAAATAGGTTTTCAAGGAAAGGGAAGTACCCATCTGGTAACTGACTCCCTTACTTGGTTGACTTAGCTCTTTAACAGCTTCCCTACCTGTATACCTGGTGTGGGTTTTTTGTTTTTTGTTTTTTTTAAGTTTATTTATTTAATCTCTACACCCACCATGGGACTTGAACTCACAACCCTGAGATCAAGAGTCACATGCTCTTCTGACTGGGCCAGCCAGGCAGCCCTAGTGTGGATTTTTAAAAATTTATTTCTAGGAGTATAAGATACCCGTATTTTGGATTATAACTACATTGTATCTGTTTTTGATCACTTGGAAATGTAGGGGAAAAAAATAGGGATTAATTTTTTAAATTCTCCTGTTCTTGATAACCACTGTTATTTCATTCCTTCGTTTACTGGTTTCCCAACTTTTCCCTCTTGTCTATCTCCTGTCCATCCAGTGCATGGCTGCCAGTGATCTTTTCAAAGTGCAAATTGAATTATTTAAGCTATAATTTTTGTTTTCTTATCTTTTGCACTACAGTATAAGCTTCACGAGTGCACTGTCTGTGTGGTTCCCATCCTCAGCTCTTAGTACAGTGGCTGGCACATTGTAGTGAGGGGTTTGGTGGCTCCCGGCCAAAATCCTATGTGTGACTTTTTTTTTCTTTTTCGGACGACTGTAGGCAGTTACAAAGGCTTTACCTGTTAGGCCTCATGGGGAAAAGCTGCCCTCCCCACACCAAAGGAGAGCAGTCTCTGAAGAGAGTTACAGTCAAGGACTCAGGACCGTGGCCAGCTATGCCCTGATCCATATCTGTAGTCCTAGCCAAAGTGCCTTCATTCAGAGCCTCTTTACTGGGGGGCCTTTAGCAGAGAAATTCCTCTGGCACCTCTGCCTAGGACCTTCTTATGATAGAAAAGGGGAGGGAACCCTGAAGACACTTTCTCCTCTGACTTGACTTTTCCACTCTTATCCCTTCCTTCTGGCCTTCAGCTCTAAGGTCCATAAAACTGCAAGTGCAAGAGCTTTTTGTTCAGTACTTCCTTGGCAAGGGGCGAACCCCACTTCTGTGCTGATCCTCCTGACCTAGACCACACATGGGGAAAGATGGAAGGTGGGGGTGGGAGTTGGCACCTTCTCAGGTTTTGCCTCTTGCTTATTCTATTGCAGTAAGTTAAAGGCTTAAGTGTTGCTTTCATTTTGGCTTATTGACTTAGCTGGCTCCTCTGACATTGGGCAGCTCAGCTCTTTCAAGCCCAGCTTAACCCTTGACAAGTAGACTTTCAATTTAGCATATTTCCTTCAATGTTTTTCCTATTTAAAAAAATATATATAGTTGATATTATATGTATAAGGATTTTCTACTCAGGGGGTTTCCCAGGTGGAAATATGTTTTCTATTAAAATCAGTATGTACCTGTTGAAAGACAAACAAATGTATAAAGTAAGATTTTAAAATTTTTATTCCACTTCCCAGAAGCAGTCAACTATTAACAATTTGATTTACTGTGTGTGTGTGTATGTGTGTGTTAACGATAAGCAAAGGGCTCACAATTCTAAACTACTTTCACTTAATATTTATTGTGGATATCTTTACTTATCAGTGCTGCTGCATGGTCCAGGCTTTTTTGCATAACAGCATAAGCCTTTTCAAGTCATTAAAAACACCTGAGTTTTATCGGTTGTACTATAATTTACCAAGCCTTTTTTGACATTAGCCAAATGATGTTTTATTTATTTGCTTTTTTGTTTTTGCTGTTCATCATGATTCATGTGTTTATGAGACATTTAATTTTTTCTTTGTGAATTGACTATTCATGTCCTTTCACCATTTATAAGTTGCAGTGCTTTTTCTCTTTAATTTGGTATGTTTTTCTTTATTAAGGATTTCAAACCTTTCCAGTTAAGAAGTTATTTATTTCAGGATTTAAATAATATATATTTTTTCACAGCAAAGAAGATAATTGAAACAATGAGCTCTTCAAAGCTCTCAAATGTAGAAGTAAGTAAAGGAAATATGTCTCGACCAAAACGGGCCAAACGGAAATTGTACACAAATGAAATTTCATCTCCTATTGATATATCTGGGCAAGTGGTAAGCTACTCTTTTTGGCTTTCTTAAAAGTAAAACTGTTCATGTTATTTTAATTTGGGAGTATTCATAACAATCTGAATTTTATAATGGTTTGAATTTTTATTCTTTAGATCAGATCTTTTGGAATATGCTTTAAATGTTATACTTTTGCTATTTGATGTGTTAAATCTGTAATAATTGTAAGTGCTGCATTAATGTATACAAGTGTCACATATTTACATTTGTAAATTAATCAGAAATTTTAATTCCATCTATAGAATTATCACTGTTTAGTAATTTATTTGCTTCTAACACCTATTTTTCTTACTAACTTTATTACAAGAGTTGTACAAATCTGGCCTAAGTGGGCCCGGTAAAAATGCAGAATTGACATTCAGTCATTTCCTCCCACCTTTCCTCTAAGCCTTCCAGGTTCTTTTAAGAAAAGACTGTAGTTTGTCATCCTGACTCGATGACTCATTCTCTTCACTCAGAACAGTCTGTGCTATTACAGGGAAAGTTCTAATTTTCCATCATGCTTGCATTTGCCTAGTAGATGAAAGGGATGGTAGAAAAGTAATTTAAGGAGAAGCCTTCAACAGGAAGTGGCTCAGAGAAATCAGGGGAGAGACCTTCTGCAACAGTAGCTATCAGATACAAGACACTGAAAGGCAGGTGGTGAAGAATTAGGGTCAATTAGGACATGCTGTTGGAAATACTATTCTCTTGGTCACTTTTCACTATCTGTCTGATTAATACATAATTTCTTCCCTTGGCTGAAGTTCTTCCTTTTCTTAGTTGCAATATAATGCTCTTTCTACTTTTCTAAGTTATATATAGTAGTCCCTTATCCTTGGTTTTGCTTTCCATGGTTTCAATGTCCTGTGGTCATCGTGGTCTGGAAGCAGATGATTCTCCTTCTGATATATTGTCAGAAGGTCAGTAGTAGCCTAACACTGTGTCACGGTGCCTACACGTCATTCACCTCACTTCATCTCAACACATAGGCATTTTATCATTTCTCATCATCACACGAAGAAGATGGGAGAGTACAGTATGATAAGATATTTAGACAGAAGAGACATACAACATTCACATAACCTACAGTATATTGTTATAATTGTTTTATTAGTGATTGTTAATATAATAATGTGTCAAACTTCATAAATTATACTGTATCATAGATATGTATATATAGGAAAAAACAGTAAACATAGGATTTGGTACCATCCTTGGTTTCAGGCATCCACTGGGCGTCTTGGAACATAAGCCCCACAGATAAGGGGGGATTATTGTACTTGTTGCTGCAAAAGATCTTTTCTTAAAAATTATTTGAGGTACTTGCCTCCAAATATTTCAGTAATTACTTCAAGCTATATATGTCCTGAATTCAATATAGGGTGTAGATTATTTTAATCCTATGTTAGGTAGTGTTGAAAGAATCTTTACAAAATCTACTACTTTAGACAATGCTTTTTATTATTTTTTAATTTTTTATTTATTTTCTAAGATTTTATTTATTTGACAGAGAGAGACACAGTGAGAGAGGGAACACAAGCAGGGGGAATGGCAGAGGGAGAAGCAGGCTCTCCACCAAGCAGGGAGCCCGATGCAGGGCTCGTTCCCAGGACCCTGGGATCATGACCTGAGCCAAAGGCAGACGCTTAGCGACTGAGCCACCCTGGCACCCCTAGACAATGCTTTTTAATAGATTAGTATACTTCTAGTCTAAAAGGACAAAAATATTATAATGTACCTATTATTCCAATTATTAAGCACCTGAATATATCTTACTAAATTATAAATAAGGCTTTATTTATAAAATGTTATGAAATTGTTAATTTCAGATTTTGATGGACCATAAAGTAAAGGAGAGTGATCATCAGATTCTCAAACGACGACTTCGAACTAAAACAGCTAAATAAATCACTTACGGAGAATGTTTTAATATAAGTTTTATGTTCATAATCATTGTAACTTGCATCCTGACTTTTCAAAGATAATCGTATATATTATGATGCATTAAATCCTGTGTATACATTGCTATTTTATACATAGTATAATTTTAATTCAATAAAGACAATAAGTCAACAGCCCCATTTGTTTACTTTTCTAAGACTTTTTTATAGTAGTTTTTTTTTTTCTTTCTCTTTTTTTGAGTATAGTTGACACACAAGGTTACATTAGTTTCAGGTATACAACTTAGTGATTTGACAAGTTTATACATTATGCTATATAATGGTTTTTCAAACTGTATTCATTTTCCTTTTATCCTAGGCATAGGATCAGTGAGGATCCTAGGAAAGATGCTGTTACTTCTGTTTTATTTTTTTACACATATCATAGGTCAGATATTTGGTTTACTTACATTTAACAGTGTCTTATGGATTGTTTTTTATTCATTTGTTAGGAAATACAACTGATTTTACATGGCTGTTTGGATTATAGCTAAGATCCAGGAGTAAGTGTGTACAGGTCTTCTAGTTGCCAGAATTTGTAGGCACATAATTTTTTTTTTTAATTTTATTTATTTATTTATTTATTTATTTTTAAAGATTTTATTTATTTATTTGAGACAGAGAGAATGAGAGAGACAGAGAGCACATGAGAGGGGGGAGGGTCAGAGGGAGAAGCAGGCTCCCCGCCGAGCAGGGAGCCTGATGCGGGACTCGATCCAGGGACTCCAGGATCATGACCTGAGCCGAAGGCAGTCGCTTAACCAACTGAGCCACCCAGGTGCCCTGTAGGCACATAATTTAGAAAAGATCTCAAGTATTTAATTAGAATGTCTTTTATTTGTTAGTGAGCAATTAGAGTTGGCTTTCCTATTTTTTTGGAACACAGGAGATCAGAAGCAGAAAGAAAGGAAGCATCTAGAGGCCGAAAAAGCACAGCTAGTTAGAAAAAATAGAATTTCAGACCTGGAGGGACCTTAGAAATGCATTTTCTTAATTTTACAGATAAGAAAACTGAGACCCCTAAAGTTTACTTTTCTCAAGATCATACAGCTAAGGTTTATTGAGCTGTGGTTTAAAACCAGTAAGAGGCAAAAACCAAAGCAGAAGTCTCAAGAATTGTTGCCAACTGGGGCTTTTAAATCTAAGAGCATACATTTATATATGTAAAACCTTAAAGGTTTCATTGGATTTTATCATTGTTTATTTTATTATAATGATGACCTTGAGTCAGGGAAAAAAGTTACCTTTAGTGTCTTGTTTAAGAGATACACCATGTTTAGGGAAAATCTCCATCAAAATAGTTCATTAAAACTTTTTAAGCACTAATATATTTTTTTAATGTTACCTGGTTTCATTATGCTAAAAATAGATACACAGTTGATCTTCATTCACTGATTAGGTTTGCAAATTTGCTTACTTGGGAAAATGTACTTGTCAGTGCTCTAGGCACTTTTGTAGTCATTCCCAGACATGTGCAGAGTGGCAAAAAATTTGAGTTGCCCAACATGCATGTTCCCACCTAAGGTTGAACAAGGTGATACTACCTTCTTGTTTCAGCTCTCAGAGTGTAGAGTGTCCCAACAAGATTTGTGAGGGAGGCAGAGTTTACCAAAGTAGAAGGGCTTGAGAAACACCTTGTGCTTTCCAAAGATTCATACTAACAAAGCATAAAACCAAACCCACATAAAATTGAAAGTAGTAATCAAAATGCCTCCTGGAACAAAAATCAACACCCTTCAGAGGAAGATACAATACAGAGTCTCTGTAACGTATGTTTTATAATGTGTGATACAGAGTCAAAACAAACCTTGACATGGCTTATGTTGAATTTTGCAAAAAACTTCAAAGCAACTCTTAGTGTATGTTCAGGGATTTAAAGGAAATGTCATCTTAATGACTATCGACATAAGGAATCTCAGCAGAGAAATGGAAAGTATAAAAGATAAAATGGAGTTGTTACAACAGAAAAGTAAAATAAGTGAAATGAGAGATATACCGGATAGATTTAGCAGCAGAAATGTCAGAAGAAAGTGTCAGTGAACTTGAAAACGGATCAATTTAAATTGCCCAAACTGGGAGAAAAGAGGTTGAAGAAAGAACAGAGTCTCAGGGTCCTATAGAACAGTATCAGATGGATTCACCTGTAATTGGAGATTCATAAGGATAAAAAATGAAAATAGGGCAGAAAAAAATATATCTGAAGAAAAATGGCCATTTTATAAGTTTTATGAAGAAACACTGGCTTTGAATCTCTGTAAACCCCAATAAAGATAAATCCAAAGAAGACTACACCTCAGAAGATCATATAGTCAAACTACTAAAGACCAACAATAAAGAAAATTTTGGAAGAAAAATCAGCAGTCTTAAAAATCATGAGAAAAACAACACAATGCATATGAGCCACTGACTGGGAGAAATATAAGAATATATAAAATTGTAATGAGAGCACAACCAGCCCAATAAAAATCTGGTAAAAGAAGACTTGAACAGATCCTTCAGGAAAGAAGACTCAAGCTGTGGTCAGTATACATATGAAAAGATACTCAAAGTCATTGGTTATTATGGGAAGACAAAGCCGGAAGTAGAGGCAAAACTATAGTGATTGCTTTGAGGCTGGGATCAGGAGATGGGATCAGAGGACATGAGGAGTAAATGGGAATCAGTTTGAGAAGCACTTAAAAAGGGTGACCAGTTTGAATCTATCTTCATTTGAATATCTTCTGGAATATGTAAAAGGCAGTAGATAAGATATATTTTTCCATGTTACATGTTTAATAAGAACTCCTATAAGTGTATATATGACTTTGATGAATTTTCCTTTCAAGATTATCAAGTGCACATTAAGTAAATCTGTAATCAGTTGAAAAAAAAAGATAGCAAGCTGAGAAAGAAGATCTTCACAAAGTCAGTTTTTATAAAATATTTTCAAAAAACTTTGCATTTGTAAATAATTTCAAGATTACAGAAAACTTGCATGAATAAAAATATTACATGGAATACTCACATAATCTTTACTCAGATATTTCTATTTTTTCAGCTTTACTGAGATCTAATTGACAAAATTGTGAGATATTTAAAGTGTACAAAGTGATGATTTAATATATGTATACATTGTGAAAGGATCCCCCTTGCCATCGAGTTAACACATCCATCACTTCACATACTTATCCCCCCTTTTTTTTGGTTAGCAGATTTAAGTTCTAGTAGGAAATTTCAGTTATACAATTCAGTGCTGTTCAACAAAGTTAAAGTTTTAATGAGAAGATGAAGGGAAAAGCAGGGTTTGAGTGGGCACCTAAAATATACTAGGGCTCTCTGTTCCTAGATGAGTGCCGACACTCATGGGAAGAAGGAATACCCACCTTCATAGGTTCTTGAGAGAACTAAATGAGAACAGGTGTAAAAAAATTTGTTTGTAAATCCCTAAGTTACTAAAATCAGATTGAGACTGCTTGACAGTTTTGCCCAGGGAGAGGTCTGATTGTGTATTTACTCAGCACGATGTCTCATCATAGGGAGAGTCACACGAGAAGTAATTTAAATTTAGATTTCTTATATTCTTAGCATCAACTTGCCGAGTTCCCCTCTGGAAGGTGGAAAAAGGCCTTTGGAAGATTATATTATTTACCTGCTTAGATTTCTCTTTTTCCTTTATGGCAATCTTACAGGAGGAATGATTGTCCAGTATCACCACCAATTTAGAGCTTCTTCTAACTCAGTGCATCTTAACTCTAATTGCACATTAGAATTATGTATCTTAAAAAAACAAAAAGTGCTGCTGCCTGGATCCTTTCCAGACCTGATTGAAAGGGTCTGGGGAGGGGCCTGGGTATCCAGATTGTTTCCAGGCACCACCAGTGATCGCGAGGTGCAGCCAGGCCTGAGGACCACCGCTGACATTGCAAAGATGAGCTTGTCCGCCAGATGGAGACAAAGCACGTCTCTGTGGAAAAGGCTCCATACAAACAAAACCCATTCTCTGACTTTACATCTGTACCAAATTCCAATTTATGTCAGGTACCAAGCAGGGCAAACATGTGGGAAGATAGGTAAAATTATCCATGATACTGTTGCTTGCCAACCACAGATATTCTTGCCACCACTGGGGAAGATTCCGGGAACCAATTTAAAAAATAACATGTGGCTAAAAATATATCCTATTCACCCAATTACCTGAGTTAGCATCTGGAAATATTTTTAATCCTTTTCCTAGCTCACTTTGATAAAGTAGACCATATAAAAAAGGAGGGTAATATTGCTTATATAGAGAGGAAAACTGACATAAGATCACTCTCAGGAATCAACATCAGCACATGTAAATTAGATTAAAATATGCTCACAAGATTTTAGGAAATAAGCAGATATAATAATGTGACTTAGATTTCTTCTTGTCTGGAATAGTTGATTGACAGTTCCCAGTTTTTATTTCTCCCACCTCTTGCCAGGTTCTGTCATGGAAGCTATAAAAGCTATAAACTTGATCTCTGTCCTCTTGTAGCTGGAGGTGGTCAGTGAGAGGTAGTTGAAAATCACGGGAGGAATTCTCTTCCTGACTAAAACAAGTTCCTTTTCTTTCTTGCCTCTGCCTGATTTCCCCTGTTTTGTTAGGGACATGAACCTTGGAGGTGGAGCAACCAACAGTCACTGTCCATGAGATGACAAGTGTGAGGACAAGTGAGTATAACTAAGTGTGGCAGAGAGGACCGGCAGGAGGATTCTGGGTTGCAGTGGGTCCCCCTGGGCAGCTACTATGCTAACAAGCACTGCCTATCTCTGAACTTGTTATGAGGGGAAAGGAGGCTTCTTGTGATTTGCAGATGAATTTATTCCTAACTGATCCATCACTGAAAATTATATTGGCACATAGACATAAATATGTATTTATCATATTGACATTAGACATTTTCCTCTCTAGTTATTATCTTTTTAATCTTTCTAGTTAAAGAAACCCTGTCAGCTTTTGACAAAGCTAGGAATTTAGAAGCTCAACTTCCTTTTTTGGTTATTTCCAAAAAGCTTATGTCAAATGCCTAATTGTAAATACCACACAATCTCAGACCTGTATCCTTTTCCAGTTACTCCCCATCTCCCTATTTCCCACCCCTCTCCCCTGTCCCTGGCAACCACTTTTCTATCCT